GAATATTAAAACATTCCAAAAATAGTGAAAATCTAAAACTAGAAATATGGAAATTAACTATTTGAAGGCCTAAACGAAGGAATTTGGCTAAAATCACAGGATCTCGAGCCCCGAGTCCAATTTTTCAGGCCGTTTCCAATCAACCTGCCAAATTTCAGCCCATTCCGACACCGTCACGCCAAATGACCAAATTGCCCTTGACTCGAACTTTTTTCGTCAATTTCTTGTCCAACACTTCTTCAAACTCCAAAACTAGTTATCCTACATCAAGAGGCCATTGGAAAATTCGATTGATCGCTAAGTGATTAAAGTCCAGTTCATTAGTCCTACTTCCAGCATGAAGAATTGTTGTTAGCAGAATAATTGAAAAAGTTACTGTATTTTGTGTTTTTATATGCCATATTGGACAATTTCTTCCTAAGCTTGACATGGATAAATTTTAAGCACTTATATATAGCCCGAAACTGGGCAGGCAGGGGCGGACCCAGCACCCGGCGAGCCGAGGCGACCTCCAGTGCTGGATCCGTCGAGAAAAAAGATTAAAGGAAGATTTTATATTCAATATATATAAATGTTAGCGCATAATTAGTAAAGGATAAGTTAGGTAGCTCAGTTGGTTTAGTGTTTACCTTCCTAGCAAGATGATTGGGGTTCAATTCCTGTCATTGGCAATCTTCCTTCCTCCTTTTTTCTTTTTTATTTTTGTTTTTGTTTTTGTGATTGGACTTTTGCCTATGTTGGGCTCAATTGGCTGAAAGCCTTTTAACTTCTTTTTTTCTTTGTTGTTTGTAATTGGGCCTTTTGCCTCCAAAACTTCCCTTTAAATTTTGGTATTAAATTTTATTTATGAGTTATGACTATCCTTACGGGCTGAAATCATGATTTATGTTGTATTAATCATGAATTAATTTGGCGAATCGACATTAAAAATTTGAAATGAGAATTGTGATTTCACTTATTTGTGAATTTGTGATTTGGAGTAAATAATTTATGTTGCACTATTGTTTGAATTATGAATTTTAATTTATCATTAATGAGTCATTGAGTTATGATTTGAGAATTACGATTCAACAATGTGTACTCTACTTTTTTAATCAATTGCAATTGAAATTTGAGAATTACGATTCAACAATGTGTACTCTACTTTTTTAATCAATTGCAATTGAAAAATAAACAGTGACATTTTGCAATTGTAGATTATTGAACGATTTTTTCAACCGAAACGAAAGTTCAAACATGTTTTATATATATATTGAATAATTTTTAATATTATTTAATTAAATATTAATAAACGATCTCGTTCTTACGATCACTGATTGTCAATGGTCAATGTCCGTCTGGGCTGAACTTTTGTGCTGGGTCCGCCACTGTGGGCAGGTGAACAACATTTTTATTTGGATCTGAATTTTCTAGGTCACTGATGATTTTGTGCATTTATTAGTATTTTTTAAAAAAAATTGCAATTTTGGCGATTTGTGTATATATATATACTTTTTGGTTGTGTGCGAGTTTTCTCCGCAGGTTGTCATACCGCTGATGTTGACAGCAGCGACTATCCGCCGCTTGTTGCTAGCGGGCCTTTGTTTTGTGGTTCCTCCTAGGGTTTTCAGTTTTGCGGGGGAGAAGTTGGAGGCGGGGGCTTTACGTGCAATTATGAAATTTTGAGCCCTTTCTTGCAATTAACACTCAAAGGGCCAGTTTGCAATTTTAAAAGGAAGACCTACCCCGTAATTTTTTTAAATTGTAAGGTTCACTTTAATAATTTTAAATCTAGGGTCAAAGCTGCAATATTTGAAAAGAGGTGTTGAATTTGAATTTTAAAAATGAGATTTTTAAACTGATCCACTATGTTTCATTTCGTGTATTGAAATTTAAGTTGCCAATTTCGTCTCATAATCGCGCATGAATTTCGCTTTTCGTCAGTTAATGATTATGATTATGTTGTGTGATTATTATAATTAAATTTTTCATGGACTTCGAGTCTACTTAAGTACTCTCATTATGAGAAATATTTTGAAATAAAAGTGGGTGGTAGTTGACAAAGTGGCACACTAATTTTTATTTATTTAATTTTCTTAAAAAAAAATATTGACATCGTAATTTTGAATTATTACATATAGTATATTGCCCAAAGGTGTTATTATATGTGA